CAGGGTGACAAATTGCTAAAAATAAATACCTGCAACTAATAGAATGCTAACCCTAACCCTATGTGATGTCGGGTAAGGAGTAATGTCTTTCGGGGAATTGAGCGACAACCGTAAAAAGTGATTATTAAAAGAAAATTTTTTTTATGGTCGGGCAGGGTGCGCGTTAATTCGGGGACACGCATGGGCGTTAATTTGAGATCATATATGCTATTTTAAGGGGCCCAGATTTCGAAATAACGCTCCGAGCGTTATTTCGGGTCTATATGGTAAATATGATAAGCTTAGGTTCAACCTCTAAATCTAAAACCTATTTATTATCATATAAAATATAATTAACAATATATCTAGAATTTATTCGTCTTATATGGTCTTTATCTCAAAAAAAAACAAGTACAGTAACTCTCAAGAAAGTTCTTAGTAATTGAAAATTTTTTCAAGAATTTGCGTAATGTTTCGAATTATCGCGCATGCGCGTCCCGAAATAACGCGCAGGGGCGCGTTATTACGCGCTTATACGGTATGAAAAGTTATGGATCTGTAATTTTCGGCATTCTATGTGCAGAGTATACTATTTGCAAAAGAATGATTATAAATAATATGATTAGCTCTAGACACATAGCGCTATTAAGTATTCTATGATCTGCATCAACCAGTTATTTTTTTATTTAACGATCTCATAATATCATATATAGATCGCCGTAGACAGAATGTCAATACGTTACTAGGCGTGTATGTGACCAAATAACTAAATAATTTGAATTTATTACTGCTGAAAAAGAATTAATCTGGAGAGTGGGATAATCAGTTAAATGTGTGTTACTGTCTAAGAAGAATTTACAGTAGGAAAAAGTATTCGCAGATTTTCAAATTTTCAATTTATCATTTGGAAATAGCGAATACTTTTTTCCTCTACTGTACATGCAACTTTCTGATGATTGTAATTTAAGACTTTAGTACTTTAGTAGCTACTACCGCGTATACTGTACTGTATTTTCTTATCACAATATACTATTTGTCAAGTACACTTCTTATTTACCTTATAGTATTAATAGAAATATATTATTTTTTAAGATTTGCTATACGAATTTATATACAATATATACTGTATTATGCATAAAAATTATATATTTAAAATTATGTTAAATCTTATTATTTATATCTTTTTTAACTAAAAAGAGTGAGTTCTTAATAAGTAAATTTTTTAAAATTTGAATAAGTAATAAAAAAATACTTTAAATACTACAAAATAAAATTTAAATTTTTTTTATCAAATCTGGTGAAATATTTGATATCGTTAAAGTTTTAAAAAGTTTTTTATATTTCTCCTAATATTTTGTAAGCTTAGATTAGTTTAGAAAATCATATGTTTATTCACTTAATCTAATTTATCATAGAATTCTAAAAAATGCTTTCTAATAGTATTAGTCATTATATTTTAATAAAAGGTGTTTAAACTTAGAGAACGTATAAAATCAACAGATTTATATCATATTTACGTAAATATTATTACAAATTTATGCAATATATATAGATGATATATGAGTGCCGTCAAGGAAAAACCTTTCGTCGGGCTTTCAATTATATTTTGTACCTATTTTAATTTTTTAGGAAATATATCTGGTACAAAAAATAATTAAAATCCCGATGACAGGTTTCCCTTGATGGCACTCATATAGAATGAGAAAAATACGAACAAAATATGTCACCTTTTAAAAAAATTTATAAATATGATATTAAGATTCATCTTTATCAAAATTCAACTTTTATATTTTGATTTCCATTGCGCCCGCACAAAATGACACGTTATAGCGAAGACCTTCATCATTTTGAGCACAAACTTAAAAATACGTTTGATGATTTCTTGAAAAAAATTGGATTGTATAACAGTGATGATGAAAATAGAGAAGGCAATTGCAATGAGAAGCGAATTATTTACTTCAGTCCAAGGCTGGATTTCCACGAAAATGATAAGGAATATGTGATTCTTACCGAATTACCTGTAAGTCTAATATTAGACATTTGTCGTCAACTTTAACGAGTTCCTTTTAATAATATATTTTTTAAATCGAATAAATAGGGTATTGAAAAAGAAGAAATACGTGTTGAGCTTAAAGATGATGATCGTGTTCTCAATATTTCCGGTGAAATAAAACAGGATGAAAAGTTAGAAAAAGGAAAAGCTCATCTTTTAGAACGTCGTTATGGGCGTTTCCATCGATCTATTGTTTTATCCGAAAATGTCAATCCAGATGGTATCACTGCTAATTTTCATGATGGAGTTTTGAAACTTATCATTCTTAAACAAGAGCCTACCAAAACCAAGAAAGTTTCGATTCTGTAAAAGTATCGGTTTACTTTAGTTTGATACTCAAGATCTTCTCTGACATCTGATCGATGGAGCTTTCAATTGAATATTTTTCAGATGAGACTGCAAAAATTTCTAAGAACTTTTTTTTATTATAATCCTGTTCATATAAATAAATTCTATATTGTTAAATCACAATAAAGCAACTACAAATTTCTAATACTTTTGACTAGAATGTGTGTTGGTCTAATTGTTACCCGCAAAGGGGTAATTTCAAAAAGAGCGCTAAACAAAGTACTTTCAGAAGGATTTCGTCCAATCAGACAATACAGAATAAAAATTTTATTTCCTAGAAGCATAATTTTATCTAGAAAAAGTTATTATGTTATATAATATTAAATATTTTATATTAAAATTGCAAAAATATTTTAATCATAAGCATATATAGTATATATATTTATTTATTTATTTACGTGATCTATCAAACTATGTATATTTAGTTTTAGGCCTTTAGGCTTTTATTATGAAAAGTCTGACCAAAAACAAAATCAACCAAATTTAACCAGATTCGATTTTATACTATGACGCTTGCACCATAAGTGATAAAAATAACATGTTTTTGAGTAAAAGTTTCGAGTAGATTAGTCGTTTCATAAACATTATTTAATTTCAGCTAATTTAATGTATTTTGAGTTATTTTGAGAATTGCACGCTAAATAAAGTCTAAAATATGCAAACTATTCTTTATTCTATGTTTCAAAAAGTTTAATTTCTATATTTTTTATAATAACTACTACTATTAGTGTTAAACAGGTTATTAAGAGTAATACAAAACTTAATATATAAATGTTAGAAACAGATAAAAATTATAAAAAACAATTAATTTGCAAATTATAATAATTAATCATATCCTGACACATCCCAAAGCCTTAAAACTTCATTGTAATCTTTCTTTCTTCTTTTTCTGATCGAAAAATATCCCATTCCTCTCGGTCTTGATTTATTAACCAATACTTCCGGATTTTCTGGAAGGCCAAGTTCATTCACCGCCAAATTTTGTACTTTCACCCTAATATTTTCACGTATACTTTTGATATGGTCATATTCTTCTTTTGGAAGTAAAAGTAATTTTGTGAGAGAGAGGCAAGATCTTGCTGCTTGAAATAAATCTTCTGTCCAACGAATAGTTAACCACATTAATAGAGGGATTAACCATGAGGTAATAAATGCGAATGGTAATGTTAAGAATACTGCTATTGTATAAATTGGGATAATTAATATTGCAGAAATGAGTAATTTATATTGCGTTATTTCATCATAATTATCTTCCTTGGGCAGTTTACGAATCTGATATTCTTTGTACCTAATAGTGCAAAAATGAAAATATTAGTTTATACTATAGATAACCGCGGCTGAAGTTGATATTAGCTGAAGCTGAGCTGACATTAGTTGAAGCTAATATTTGGTCTCTATCTAGGTATAATAGTAAAAATCTTACTAACTTTACGCATGTGAATATAGGTAGCCAAAGTATTATTCCTACTGAAGAGATAGTGGCAAGAACTGAAGCCCAAATTACTCGTATAAATATACGCCCAATAAGTTCAGGTTTTGACAATGGAACAGCACGACTGAACCGATAGTCTTTTATTCCGTGTGAATCAAGAAGGTCTTGATATGCCTTTTAAGCATCGCGTATGCAAAAAAATATTTGTTAAAAAATTTAATCAATTTATCGAGTTTCAATTAAAGAACGCTTACAGTCAAATCTCTCGATAAAATATTAATGTCAACACCCTGATGTGTAATCTTTTCTTTCTTTTCTTTGAGCGCTGGATCATCCACATGCAAAACATTGCTATCAACGCGTTCAACAATAATTTCCTTATTTTCATCATTAGTTTCATCACTTCCGTTGAACTGACCTTCTCCACTGGATTTTTCACTTGTTTTTGCGAGTGCATCGATGAATTTTTTCGTTAAACGAACATACTCCGCTAAAGATGTTCGAGTACCAAGATTACCCGCATACAATTTTCGCGCGGTATGTGCTAGTTTTTAATAAAGAGACTAATTTGTAGTAAATTATTACATTAAAAATTATATAATTATTGATTAATGAATGAAATATACCTATCCTTAAAGTTTGCCAGTCAGGAGAATCAAGGGTGTTTGAGCGAACCGTTTCCTCCATGACAGATGTCAATTCATTTATGGCTTGCTCACTAGTTCGTTTTTTACCATCCGAAGTCATGGTTTTCAGGAGGGCTTGATGTTGTGGTGTAAGTACAATCGGTGGATTGAATTTAACCAAAACGTTCGATCGAAATTTTTCGCGACGAATGTATATTAATGAAGCTGTCAGTAAGTTAATTGAAAAGTCTGGTTGATCTTTGTTACGAGTCAAAGTCTTGGAAATAGTAGAATGAGATATATATAAGCCATATGTTGCATAGCAGAATAATATTAAAATAGATCATTATCATATAAGTCGTTTACCTCACTGGCAATCACTACATGGCCATAAATATATTAAACAGATATCAATTAAAAATAGTCTTTATAATGTGATAGTCTAAAAAATGGCTGCTCATTACATGCTACACCAGGTTTAAAGGGTGCCACCTTGCTATGATATCGACTAATTCCTTCCGGAAACATGCAAATGCAATCACCTCGTTCTAAACACTATTTATTGTACAAATATTAGTATCAAGAAATTTATTAAATAATGAGATATAGAATTCAAAAATACCCCTATTAGTATTTCAAATGATTCCGAATTATCAACTTTAGCAAAATTATAATCCTTATATGGTGAGATTCAAAAGTTCTGTAATCAGTATTAACATAAATAAATCAACTTATAAAGAGCAAAATTTAAATACCTTAGTTCGTTTAATAGGTACTGTGCCTAAACTTCTGATCAGTACACTGTAAAGTGGGAAATAATTATTTGTTGATAATTACTGCATGTTTCATCGAAGAGATTATATATCTATATATATATATATATTTTTTTTTACCTAAAAATATCCGTTTTATACCAAAATGTGTCTTTTGCAGTCAGTCGAACCTGAAAATATTTATGAAAATTTAAACCTTAATTCATCAACGTTATTAACAATTGTAAACAAATACCATATCTCGTTTATCTTTTGGTATAGCGGCCAAAAGACAAATAGGATCGGTCAAAGAATTTGCATGATTTGGGCAGAGGATAGTTGGACATCCATCTGGAGGTATATATTCTAATCCCTCTACTTCAATTGCGTAAAATGCATTAGCTAAAATTTTAAACAAAAATCTCACAACGCGATAAGCTAAGGGTGCCATTTTAAAGAAGTAACATTAATGAATCCAAATGTCAGAACACTTGATACAGTCGAAAAATTAAAATTAGGATTACAGGATTAATGGTATATATATTCATATATATATATATATATACTCTACGTATATATAGATTTTTAACGGTAATAATCACGATGCGTGGGATACAAATAATAATGCACAAAATTTGGGGACAGGGTTAAAAAAAAAGAAGCGATGTACAAAAAAGTGTTGACTAACATCATCATTTGAGTGGATCATAATGTTGCAACGTTGACATGGATTTTTATTTGCTTAGCATCTATACCCTGTGATAAAGTATATCGATATAATATATCTAGATTGCCACAAAATCCACAAGTCATCTGTGCATTAAATACTATTTTACAAATGGTTCAGGTGGTCTTGAAACGAACGATTATTGGTCATTTTTGTGTGAATTTCAAATAATTATATTACAGCGCTTTCGAGAACGAATCGTATACAAAACAGATTTTTTTTTTTACATTATATTAACAAGTATTCTATACAGTATAAAAATTGCAATTTTCACTTTTACCCTTCCGAAACTTTAACTATCTTTAATCGAATTGAATCTTTAATTCTTTATAAACGTAAAGAAAATCAATTATGGAAAAATTCAATGATTTAGTAATGGAACTATAAACCACATTCTGCCAATATTTTCGCCTGTGTATTATAAAAAAGAAAGTATCGAACGATTATAGTGATACTGATTTATTTTCCTAAGGAATGCAGTTTGTCATGTAATTTTGCCTGCTGAATGATGAAGCCTTTCGTCGAGCTTTTCATATACTTATCTCTAGTATACATATATCTATTTAATTGAGTATAATGTACTTTAAATCTTTAAATTGCTCGGAATAAATCAGTTTATATAATGGGTAACAATGCATGAAATTGGGCATAACGTGTCCTGATTTTTTCAACGGGCCACCTAAAAAAATTTCAGGTCTTGCAATTTACATTATTCATATATTCGCTTTTACCGAGGTCGGCTAAAACGGTGTGGGTTCAATATCATACTGCATAAATTGTATTGATATTTATATATAAAAATTTGCCTAACTTTATCAGAAGATAATTCTAACCCTAACTACAACATGTTGTAAGCCACATGACTTTGGTCGATTGGCTAAGCCAGCTAAGCGGCTGGCAAACGCTAATAGTCTACTTTTCGGAATATTTCTCTCAAAGTATTTTATGTTTATTCATTCATAAATCATGTAACTATTAGCCGCATTAGCCAGCTGACCATATTATTTCAGCTGGCTTAGTTGGCTAAGCCGGCTTAACTGCGACTGCCCTAGTCGGCTTACAATGATTTCATCATGATAACTTACTGTTAGATGTAAACAGCACAGCAGATTATTTTATATAATAAAGTCTTATTAAAGTCACAAGAATAAATTTGATGCCACGAAAATAAATTTGGCAGAGATGCCAAATACTACTGTAAATATTTATTCTTGATAGCAAAGATAATAAATTATATATTATTTTAGTATATATCAGTCACACGATATGTCACATGTAAATTTTTTATATATGAAATTATAATAAAAAACATATAAAATTACTGTAAACTTTGCAGCTTTGATGTTTTTCGATCTACATAACTTAAAATTAAATTTTATGATCATATATAACAAATAAAGAAGAAAATTTTGAGCTTAAAAACC